GTTGTGGGTGGGTGTAACCCAGCATCTCGAGCAGGCAACTTTGTTGTTAGGAGCATGTGCTCTCACCAGCTGAGCCAAATTGCCACCTGTTGGCAGCTCAGCAGCAGCTCAGCTCGGGCACAGCTCACTGGCCCATGTAGGAATTAAACCAGCGACCCACTCTTGAGCAAGGTCTTAACCAACTGAGCCACTTGGCTGGCCCCTCCTTGAGATTTTAATTTGCATTTTCCTATTGACTAATGATGTCGAGCATCTTTTTATGTGTGTGTTTTATTTTTCCATTCACATGTCTTCTTTGGCAACATGTTCGTATCTTTTGCCCAGTTTTTATTGATTTGCTTTTTCATTATTGAGTTTAAGAGTTTTAAAATATACTTTATATATACGTCCTTTATCAGATATGTGAATTGCAAGTGTTTTCTCCCTGCCAGTGGCCTGGGCAGATGCATTCTTCATCCCCCATTGATATCAGGGCAGCTCCAGGATGCTCATGTTTGAGAATTAGGACATATTTTGGGTTGGATCCCAGCTCAGATAGGCAAGGGTGTTCGTGCTAGCTGATAATGTATTTTTAAGAACAAATTTTGGTATTTTTTCTGTTTATAAATGTAAATTTGCTCATTGTAGGCAATCTTAAAAAATACTTAAAACTGTAAATAGGGAAACGAGACTGGAATATGCCTGAGAACTTCAAGCAGAAGATGACCAACTGTGAAGGCCACATACATCAGAAGAACGAGTGCTTGGGGCTTACCATACACGAGGTTTGGGCAGCAGAGCTATCACAGGCCTCCTCCACTTTGGGCTTGGGGCTCTTAAATTAGTCTTAGTTTTGCTAAGGAATGCCTTAGAATTATGGGAGGCTGACTATGCAGTTTGTTCCCTCTATGTAAGTCACTCTCTGGCATAAGCACTTCATAAATGTTTATAAAATATAAAGTAAGTGAAGGTCTTGAGCATAGACGTTACAGACTTCATAAATGTCTTCGAAACGTAGAGCTGAGCAAGGCTTGGGAAAGGAAACATTGCTAAAGAGAAACATGAAATTAATCAAATCTATTTGACTAATATTGGGAAATAGTATATTCAAGTCCAACACAAATGTCTTAAGTGTCAAGGGCTCCTTTTCTCTGGTGCTTTATTGATAAAAAGCATCCAGTTTTGGTGCCCAGAGGACTAGGTTTAAGATTCTAGCTCTGCTGTTCACTGGCAACGTGAATTTGGACCGATACTTCAACTACTTTACTTCAGTTCTTTCCCTTACTCCTTGGGAATAATTATGTGTGCCTGGCAGGGGTGATTGTGAGATCATTGGAGATAGAGCATATAAAGCATTTTGATGTAGTGCCTGACACATTGTAGTGGGGTTTGCACTTACTCTGCTTTTCCTTCTCAGTTTCTCGTCTTAGGGTAACTCAACCTGGCTGCTGCAGTGGTGACCTAACCATGCAGTTTTCTCACTGTGAGAAGTAGCTCATAGAGAGCAGATCTCAGAATAGTGTTTCCCAGTCCTGCCAGGATAAATTTTTCTACCACAGTGTGTTTTTCAGTGATATGAAAAAAAAATATATCATGGGATAAAGGTAATTTGATTCTAGATTTTAGTGTCTCAAAACTTAGTCTTTTCATGCATGGAGTCATTACTGTAAAGATATGTGGTTAGACTGACTGAGGTACCAGGTGGAATGAGTCTCTAATGTCAGCAGCAGGACTGATCATACAAGGGAATCCTGAGACTTGTAAAATTGGGACCATGTTCCCATGGGAACACATGTTGAGGTGGACCGCTATAGAGGAAGGAGTTAAGATGATGGTTAGATTGGCAGGATGTTCGACTGAGGGTGACTGGTACCAATTATACCACTTGGTACTAAAATTATACCAATTTTAGAGCTGTTTCCAGTGGATATGGGTTGTAAACTTGTCCTTGCTGCCATTCCGAGTTCTTTTATACTGTCTCTGCTACTTTTTTGTTATTCCTGACCTGTGTCTTCCATGCTTGGCAGTTTCTTGACTCTTGGAGCCTAAATTATCCCTCCTGACCTGAATTCGTCTGGAATTTTATGATGTTCTTACTGGCATTGCCAGTAAGTCATGCTACCAACAAACTGCTGCAGCCTGTAGATTAAGTTTTATGTTTTAGGTCATGAAAAACTTAACTGCGTTGTTTAGTTAATTTAAGTTATAAATTCTGTACAGAATACTTGCATTAAGAAAAGATTCTTGCACTACAGCTATTTTTGGTCTGGCTTTCGTAATAACGTATGTAAAATGTTGGAGCTTGAGAGTGACCTGTCAAAACTACTTTATGATTTCCATGTTTGTTCCATTTCTGTTTTGTGGTCAGACATGAAAAGGTATTGGAAATTTGAGTCCTTCTATTAAAAGGCTTTCCTTTATATGTTAGAACAGGAACCACTTTTTAAAGGGCCTCCCTTTCTCTGTGTCCACAAAGCTCCTTGTTATAGCGCTCTAATGGCATGTGACACAGTGAACTAAGCAAGCCGCATGGCCACACCTCATGCAGCCTACAGCTGCAGTCCTGATATGTCTCCCTAAGGCCGAGAGCCAGTGAACAGCCCTCATGATACAGTGGTTCTCATTGGTGGTCGCCATCTACTCAGCTCTCTCCCTGCTGTAGGCAAACTGACTCACCCGTTCCCAAGAGCAATAACCCAAATTGTCCCATTCAGCTATAGCATTCAAAGTTCAGTATCTCTTCTGCAGGTTCAGATGTGTTATCTCTTGGTCTGGAGACTTCATGAACTAAAAAGACCAGTAGTCTGTCCCGTCCCTCTGTCCGCTCCTACCCTTGTGGAGTTGGGAAAGATAACTGACAAAACCACTTCCATTCAGAAAGGGGAGGAATAGGAGATATAGAGCAGTCACTGAGTGGTAGCAATTCTGAAATCCCACTGAGCAGGCGTTTTGGGGGACCCCCACCTTGGGTTGGAAAATGTTTATTTCCAGAGCCTGCTTCCTGGAAGAGGCCCGCCCATCTGTTGTTCTCCATGCCCATTGGCTCTGCCCTCTTGAAGTTCCTTCCTCTTCCAGTAACGGCCTTGGCTACCACTGAAGTGGGCATTGCACAGGCCTCCTGAACACTTTTCCCTGGCAGCTTCCTGTCTGTAGGGTGGTTTTAAATATCTAACACCCCTAATCCTCTTAATCCAGAACTGGTAGTTCTTTTAGTAGTACAATTCTTCAAAAATTTTGTTGATTTCTTATCTGATTCTAGTCAGCTTCATGTATCAACAGCCAGACTTACAATTTTAGCTAGGTATAACTCTTAGATTTGCTGTATTTCTCATCTTTTCACCCCTACGTGTGCCCCCTCCCTCTGTATTTATTTGAGGGTATCTTTTCTCTATCAGGCTTCATTCAGTTGGAGGCCTACCCGCTTCGTTTCTTCTTCCTGAACCATTTTATCCGAAGTGAAAGAATATACTGGGTGCCACGTTAATCCATGCTGAGGTCTTAATATCAGGTGTGATGGCTGTTCCCCGGGTCTGAGCCTTACCTGAGGTTGGGTTTTAATCAGCTTTGGTTCTTTCAGAGGCCTTCTCCATTTTATTTTTAACTGTTTGGGGTTAAGAAGTTAGTTGCATCTTTCAATCTTTTAAGTGTTTGAACTTGAACTCTATTTTCTTACATTGCTGCTTATAAACCAACCAATTCTTTATTGATATTTCTTTCTTGCATGGGTTTCTCTTTATCTTATTCAGTTATTATTATTTTATCTCATTCTAGCCTTTTCATATTTTCCTATTGCTGTTTTAGCTAATCTGTTTTTTACCAGTTTCACAGAGCCTGTGTCTTCTGTACTCTGGATAGTGTGCCAAACTGTTTCCAGACTTTTCTTTTGGATCCATCACTATGTCCTGTAAATTCTTTCTTTGAGGATTTCAGAGGCTATTCCTTTCCTTTATTGGAATATTTTCTTTTTTATATGGCTTGTGTTTCTCTTCTCTGTATTTTATTCCTTTAGAAAGTGAAATCTGCCAGATATGTTTTCTATCAATAAATCAGCCCCTTTACCATCCTCTTGGACCCACAGCTCAGGGCAGGTTGACCTACATAAATCCTAGGTCAGTTTTCAGTTTCTAGGAGGCTTTTGCTCAGGTAAAATCTTGACTTATCCTCACTTGGTTTTCTGGTACGGGTGGAATATATGATATAAAAAATGTGGTGCACTTGCTGCCACCTGGATTTTTCCTTCCTTTGCTGTCTCCTACATTGCTTTGATTATAGGGACTGACCCCAGAATGTAATGTGCCCTTGCAAGTTCCCTTCAACGTCCTTCCCAACTATAATATTTTCTAGGAGTTGTTGTCCTGCCTAAGTGAACAAAAGATGGGAGGAGGAAGAGGAGAGGGTCTGTGTGTGTGTGTGTGTGTGTGTGTGTGTGTGTGTGTGTGTGTGTGTGTGTGGTTTGGGGGAAGTATACAGAAATCTCACCAACACAAAGATCTGCCCTGAGGGGCACTTAAAGTTGCGTGCAATTTTACAATGGATATAGTTCTTGAGAGTCTGAATTAGATAACCAACTGCAGAGAATGTTTGAAGTGCCTTCTTTTTTCAGATGGTCTCAGTGTTATGAGGCTTAAGCTAGTTATGGCATGACAGGTTTTTTGTTTGTTTGTTTGTTTTTTCCCTTCATCGAGTGTCTGATTTATGGTTAACGAGATCCTTCGAGGTTCTGGGATTATCTGTTGATTTCAGTGGTACATGCAGTGATTTCTTGGGTTCTTCCTGCACGTTCAGAAATCGAGAGGTTGTATGATTCAAGGCACACACTCTTTCAAACTGGAAAGTCCATGTACGCTAACTTCTGGTTTTGTCTTCTGACACCTAGAGCGGAAGGTGTGTGCTTTTAAGTCTGGTCATAGAATTCCTAAAAAGTAATTATTGTGATATCTTTGTATTTGGCTTTTTATTAGAAAGGGTAATCGTTTCCCAGTTGCATTTGAATTTGACATTAACTAGTGTTTCTATTTCAGATCACAGCGGCAGCAATGTTTCATTTCTTCAGAAAACCTCCAGAATCCAAAAAGCCTGCTGCACCAGAGAGAGAAGCAGATGGGTTTGTCCTCTTAGGTGAGTTTTTTTAAGCAACAAAATCATAATTAGATGAATTATTTTTATTTTAAAAAATTGCTTGAAATGTGATTTCTAAATTATTTCCTACCAATTTCACCATTAATTTATGTATATGAAATCTATAAAAATAAAGTTCATCAATCACTTAGAATATTGTCATTAAGTTGGACTCTTACATTGGTGTGGCTATGTCCTTCAAATTAAATTTGTAAAATCATCGCTTTTTTTTTTAATCTCTGTTATGCTTGTCAGTCTTTTGATTGTGAAAAACCACAAGTCTTGAAGAATCCTTGATAATTTCAAGTTCTGTTTTACAAATAGCACCAAGCCATGTTTCTTAAATTAGCATCTGAAATTAAATTAGGCACCCAATACATATTTGCTGAAAGAAGTATGCTTTTAAATCTAAATCATGTTAAATAGCGGCTCCTAAATTTTTAAGCCCTGTATATTTCTTATTATAAAATTAATAACTGCTAATTATTAAGATTTTAGTGGCTTTAAAAAATATTGCTTTCAACCAAATACTATTGCTTTTCACCAAGGGGAATTCTGAAAAGTAGCAATTTCTTCATGTCACTGTGTCTGTCCCCGAGGAAGAGAGTTACAGTCTGGTGAGGAGGACCCAAAGCCCAGTGTCCCCTTGTGGCATCCGCCCCTTCCGCCCTGGACCGCCCCTGCCGAATTCGGACTCCTCCTCCAAGGGGATTTGCATGAACTCATGGGGTGTTTACTCCCTGGGGTGTTGCTCCTGCCTTCCAGACTCTGGTTTCATACCTCTTCCTGTACCTTGGCCCCCTCAGACTGGCATGGGTAGGCTTTAAGGCTAATCCAGAATTTTCAGCTTCAGCCCTCCCAGAGCCAGGGGTCACACCATGCCTCTGACCCCACACATTCAGAAGGATGGTGGGTGGGGCTCTGCCTCTTCAGCTTTTCTCTTTAAAATCTGGTCTCTTGCAGAAAGGACACAGGGGTTTTACCTCTCTGGCCCTTCTCTATTTCTCGGGCTTAATCTCTGGGAGATCAGAATAGAGTTTTTCTCACAGCTAAATGTGACAGTAGAATATGCCATCTTTTCCATAGTGAAGTCCTGGCAGGCCTGTGTGTTGTTCTACATCTGCTCCATGTGGCCTTGGACAGGGCGGTGGCTACCGTGGGCAGAGCTGTCTTCTCTCTGACCAGATCTCCTACACCTGGCAGGGGCTGGTGATTTTTCTCCGGAGCCTTCTATCTGGGATCAAGTGGGGTGCTGTGGACACGACTGCTTACCTGGTCTTTCTTACTGTGTCAGGAATTTGTGCCTTGGTTTCCAAGTCAGAACTGGCTGTCAACCCCAACTTCTGTTCCTTGAGAGGTGCCAGTGTTGCTTCCCTCTCAACCTTATTCTTTTTATTAGCAAGTAGCCATTTAAAGCATGTGAGTTTAGTATACAGAGAATCAAATAGACATAAGACAGATTAACTGGAGAAAAGCATACAGATTTTTAAAGGTACACGGGAGCCCTCATAGAAAATGAAGACCAAAACAAGTGGCAAAACCTAAGTGCTTATAGATCAGGTTGAGTAAAGAGGCAATTGTGGAAAAGTAACAAACGTGGGGAGACTCATGGAAGATAAGAGTTATTTTAACAAGGTCTGCTTGTATGGTTTCTTGGTCTCCACTCCCCATCGCTAGTGATAAGGATGTTTGTTTCATCCTGGCATGTTTCATGTGGGGGTTTCTATCTCCTGCTATCAACTCAAAATAATCTTATGACAAAGTGGCATATTTTAGGGGCGTTATATGTGCCACCCGTCACCATTTTGGGCAAATTATGTAATGTCCCGGCTGTCATTTAGCTTGTCTAGAAAATGAGCATGATAACAGTACCCACCCTGTAGAGTTAGTGAGGAGGATTAAATGACTTAATGTGTGTAAAATGCTTAGAACGACCCTGTGAGTGAATTGGTGCTATTAGACGTCTCCATATACGTGTGAGGACTTAACTTCCCGAAGTTCCTCCAGCTAATACAGAGCAGACCTGGAATCAGCCCAGGCAATTGGACTTCAGAGCTATCCTCTTAGCCACTAAGCTATCCATTTTTTAATGTCATTGTCATTTTTAATTTTCAGACATTAGTGACATTTTAATCTCTTTTTAAAAAATTTCAATTGTGGTCCGTACTTGTTTAAATGAGAAGGTGCTGAGTTTGTGTTTAATAAGAGAGGGTTGGTTGGTTGTTATATGATTGTTCATAAAGTTTGGTTTTAATCTTGGCTACCCCAAACTTTTTACTATTTAATATGTTCAATATGTAAATATATTGCAGGGGCATCCCAGTCGGGACCCCCTCTCGTTTCAAGAGCTTTAACTTTCTGCTCTTACAAAACTATCCTTTGCTACGAACTTTAAAAAAATAAAAAAATAAAAATATTGCAGAAAGCTATAATTTCTTTAGTGAAGTTGAGATTGAAAGGTGATATACATTGTTTAGTTAGTTAAAAAAAATCCTTCAACTGTTAAGGACTTAACTGAATTGACTGATAAAAGTCAGGACAGATTATTAGGAATATAGTTAATTGCATTTAAAAATAGGATGGTAACCTCGTTTTAAGAGAAATTATTTGTTCTGCTGAGTTGCTCTTTTTATCATGTGGTTCTATAGTGATGTATATAATGTCTACTTTAGTCTCAGAGCATACTGTGTAAAATATTTTGGAAAACGTCAAATAGGTCAAATGGTAGATATGAAATGCCATTATTAACATGGTCCCATACTTGCATACATGTACTCTGATTATCATGTATACACATAACTTTGTTTGTCCTCATGTGCAATAGATACATAGCACGAAAATAAATGTATATGATTGGTTTTGTGTGTTTATTAACCTCTAAATGACACAACTAACTAAAAACTTAGAAACATGATTATATTTATGGCAACAACTTCTTATTGATATGTTTTTTACAGAATATTTTTAGATTATCATCTTATGCCTTTATAACCTGTTTCTAATTAAAGGTATAAATTATCTATTTTTTTCCCACTGGAGAATACCTTTTCCCCGAGGCAAGCCTTCCTGCTTAACACAAATAGGTTTTAGGTCACAATTATTAGATGGCATTGCTAAGTTGCTAAAGTCAGCATCTCGTGACTTGAAATTCAGGGCCCAGGCAGAGCCTAAGCACTTTTGTTGATAGGAATATCTGGGCTGTTCACATACAATTAGCTAACTTTTGATCGGAAAACTTTTTCCCTGTTAAGGTTTCCAAACTGTTTAGCCTTTGTAAAATGTTGAGTGTGCTGAATAAGAATAAGGGGGGGATGAAGGCCTAGTAGAAAAACATCCTTTCCCTTGTATCCAGTTCCTATTCACAGAAGAAGGTAATAGCTATTCATTCATTCAGTAATGAAGTTGAAGTAATCCTCCAGGGTACTCATTTTACACAAAAACAAATTGCAGTTTTCATTTGCATCACTGGGTGGCGATTTTCCTTAGTCTTATGCTGCTGTTTTAAAAACCCCAGCAAGCATGGTACTATTTGTAATTACGAGGGTTTCCTTCTGTTATGACATGTTTAATTGTACTTTTAAGACATTATCTTTAAGTTGATTACAAATTTGCTCCTGTGGTGTGCAACCTCATAGTTATTTTAAATTAGGAAAAAGGGTATCTGTTGCTTAGATGTTAGCATATAATTCCTTCCAAAACTAAGACAAAGGCATGGATTAATTTATTATGCTGTAGCAAAAAGAAGGAAAAATAACAGCAACAGCAACAAAAAAACACCCCACAGAATATAAAATGAAAAGGAATAATTTAGATTACTGTGTTGAGCAGATATTAAATATAACTTTGGAGCAGGCAGAATGAATTGGGCAAGCACTATTTCAGAGATTAAAGGAATTGGGTTACAGTACAACTGAAATTCATCATGTTTTTCAGAATATGCAGGTGCTTCTTAAAGTAGGGCATAAGAACTTCTAGTTTCCATTAAGCTAATTGTTTTGTGAAACTCATTGAATTTAGAATCAGAGTTTAATAATTCACAGCAGCTTGGATGTCATCTTTTAAGTAGTGCTATTGAAATGTGTAATTTAGTCTCACCTGTTTTTCAGTGCAAATGATAAATCAGATTTTGAAAAGTACTGGGTTATTTTTAAGATTTTGTACTGAATCCCTCATACTGGGAATCATTCAAACCATGTGCACACATTAAAGTTAAGCTACCACATTTTTATATGGAGCATTTTAGGTGATCTCTTCATCTCTGTAGTCTTTTCTTTATTTAAAAGGGGAAATTTAGCTGCGTACAATAAAAATTTATATTCCAAGGAATGAGGGACAGTAAATTATTTTGATCATGTCTAGGACTGAATGCTTTAATTGGAACAATGACAAAAACTAAGTAGATTTTTAGTATGTGCTTCCTAATTTTACTCCATTCTTAAAACAGAAGTATACCAAATCTTAAAAAGAAAAATAGTGTTTATGGATTTCAAAAGCACCTTACCCTATTGATATCTCTTTACCCATGTGTGGTGATATCCAGAAGTAATCCAAGGACAATTAATTTACTTGGCAATCTTTGTGTGTTTACTCTTGACCTTTCAATTCTAAAGCAAAGTGAAGCCAGGATTTTTCAACCAACTTTATTATTCAGTTGCTTGTTTTCCCATTAAGAAATGCAGAGTTGTACGTCTAATCGATGGAATTAACAGAACTTTCATATTCGTTGGTTTGTGATTCTGGTTCACCTGTTGACCTTGTGGTGCTTCAGAGATGAAAATGTACAGGCCAGGCTGTCCCATGCGGGGTGTACCTGCCCCATCTCCTGAATGTAGAGAGAGAGGGAACTTCATGGGGCAGGGAGAGGTGCCAACTGTACCGAGAGGTAGAACTGAGCCCTCTGTTTCATGCAATTAATTATGAGAAAGTCATTCATTCTTACTGGGGCTCGGTGGACTCTGCTGACTCAAATGTAAATTAGGGCTGTGTCTCCCTAGCTCCAT